GTGTGTGTGTGTGTGTGTGTGTGTGTGTGTGTGTGTGTCTTTATTTTTCTAGTCTACCTCGAGATGACAACAACATGTTTGTGGATGAGGAGAGAACTCCATTACCTGTCCCTCTGTATCGGAGTGATGATGACTTCACCCGTTTTTACATGGATGCAGACCTTAGCGTTTTCTTTTTAGTGACATTATGGGTGATGTCAGATTACACGTCATATTTTTATTTTTTTATGCATGGATCAAACTACTTTACTGTGTGTTTTATATTCCATCCATGTCTTTGAAATGCTGCTGGGTTTTTTTCACATTTTGTAATTAAAATTATCCTTTTCAGACTACTGTGATTTCATTTCACTATGGGCTATTAACTGAGAAACTTTACATAGAAATTGGATTGGAGCAAATAGACCAGGCCAGGCCAACCAGTAGATCRGGATCTACTGGTAGATCTTTAGCTGGTTAGCAGTAGCTCACAAAGCAATGGATCACGGAGCTTGTAGAATGCAACATTGTTTAACATTGCAGCCTTAAACGCGCTCTTCGCAACATTTGTTTGACATTGCAGTTTTCAACGCACTTTTTGCAACGTTTGTTTAACATTGCATTATTGAACGCACCCTTGTCAACGTTTGTTTAACATTGCATTCTTGAACGCACCCTTGTCAACGTTTGTTTAACATTGCATTCTTGAACGCACCCTTGTCAACGTTTGTTTAACATTACATTCTTGAACGCGCTCCAGTCTCGCTAGTTTTGGGTGCTGTTAAACAGCACTCCGAACGTGGTCTTGTGAGGTTAGGGTCATGTGTTAAAAACATGGCAGCGAGGCGGAAAAAAATGATGAACGAAAGACAGCTAACAAGAAAATAAAAACTTATTATTTTCACTTGGAGTGGGAAGAGGACTCATATGTAATTCGAGCGCTGCCTTAGCTTGTCCAAAAAGGATAACATGGAACAGCATTTCTTTCAAAAGAATGCACAGATGCTACGAGGCGGATTTCCCCTCCTAAGGTAAGGCTGCTATGCTAATGCAGCCCCGTACCTGCCTCAACACACGTCTTTCAGCGATGACGAAGTTATGAAAGAAGCGTTTGATGCTGCAGACATGTTTTTCCGTGATTTTAAAAATAAAAGTGAGATTGTGGCTGCTATAAAGACGTGTAGTTGTCCACCAGGATCGATGGGTGTGTCCAAATTTGTGTCCGTGTTTCAGTCTGGACTGCTCTGGATTGAAAAGTAGGTTTTGACTCTRCAAAATGACATTGGGATCAAATCAAGAGCAACAAGTCGCATGGATGGAGAGTTCTGGAGTCTGCTTTCTCTCACATGAAAATCATCAAGTCCAACAACAGATCCACAAAGACTGGTGATCATCTGGAGACCTGCTTACACCTCAACCACCTCATACTGCCTGCCTATGAGACCCTGGCATCCTCTCAGTGTCAGAAGTCCTACTAAGGTAGACATACATTTTTTACATTATTTATTTATACATTATTTTTATATAGCTTGCATAAAAAGTTGTCTCCTCTAGAGTTGTCACAATGTGTCAGTATGTTGTTTTTTTATTACATTTTAGACCAGACTAGTGTCTTATACACTGAGTGACACCATTGTGTTATTTATTTATTTATTTATTTATTTTACAGTTTGGGTGTGCCCTTGTTTTCCTACCTAGTGTGGCTGTGTGTGTCTTGTTTATAGGTGGATAGATGGTGAACCAGGTGGAACTCTTTGAATGGTCTGAAGCCAGCAGTCTGGACCAGTGAGGGACTGAGCTCTTCAAGACCTACAGATGACACCATCCTGCATGCTGCAGATTGAGGTTTGAAATAGTTGTTGGAGATTTGTGAATCTGCACCATCGTAAGTCACTTTTTGTAATAGTATAAACGAGAGAGTTTTGTATTGTGTGCTTTGACTTTAGTTTTTTGTTTTGTTTTTCCCCTGTATGGAGAGAAGAGAGGAGAGTTATTTGAATAAACGGAGACGAGTTCCCGTGCTCCAAAGTTATTTGACTCGGTGGTTCTCACAGTGTGCAGGTTTCCAGCCCTCATAGCTCACACGTTACAGGGAGTACTAATTGAAGGAGGTAAAAAAAATTATCCTTTTTGTTCGAGCATCACTTTTCTGTTTCTCTGTCAGGAGTTAAGTAAGGATTTTATCTTTTCTTTTTTTGTAGGTAAATATATGGTTAAGTAGATCGTTTTGTTTGACAATACTTTAAATTAAATAAAACTAGCAACACATTACTTTCTGTTTTATTTACTTTAAAGAAATGAGGAGTAGGGAGACGAAAAAATATGTTTTTTGATACTGAGACTGGACGAGTAGATCTCGGCAAACAGCCAATGTCAAAAGTAGCTCTTGGTTCAAAAAAGGTTGGGTACTCCTGAAATAGACAGTTTAATAGCATTTAAATTGTTCACACAGTAAAAGTTGCAGCGAATGAAAAAAACTTTAATTTGAAACTTTTCCTTCCATAAATTACACAACCAGGTACACAAGTCATGGTGTTTTCTAAAAAGACATTGAACTCAAAGTGAGTGATTGTACTTATGTGGTTAAAAAACCAAAGCCTTTATCTCACTTTTTGCTCTATTTGTGTTAGAAAATGTTTTACTACTTTCCGTGTGATAATAACAAGGTTTTTAGTTATGACATTTAATATTTGCCAGGCTGACATTGCAAATAAGAAGCTCTTCTTAATGTTTTGCCTGATTAAATAAAGGTTAAATAAAAAATTAAAAGCACTATGAGCCTTGACTGTGGAAAAAATAAGATTATACCTTAGCACTGTGAAAAACAATTATTTCTTTATTGCAACCCACTGCTTCCAAAGGTTGTCATAGAATGAGACCAAAGAAAAAGGTTGAGTTGACTAAAAATGTTTATTAAACTCAGAAAAAGCTGAACTTCATACATGCTAACACAGACAATAACATAGCCGTGTGGATGTTCCTGGCATATTTGTGATGGCCCAAGGCACAAGTTGTGGAGGAAGCAGGCAGCCACGATGATCTTCACCACCACATCATTTCTGCTGTTCTGCACATCACGAAGGCGTCTCCATCGACACTTCGGACATCCAAACGCTGGCAACACAAATAGTGTTCAATGTTTTATCAGCATATCACAAATGCTACAGTTTTTCACTTTAACTTAGTGATGTAATTCAGTTCGCTAACAGTAGGCACGTGGCAAAAGGCTTTATGGCTGTGCTACTTTATATTTAGTTATTTTGTTCGCCAACTATAAATATTAAAAAAGTACCTTCCGTGGTTCTCATCCGCAGCCTCATCCAACATGTTCCATGAAAGGAGTGCATATCTGGTCARTAACTTCTTGTATTCGGAAACCGCAACAAAAACAAAGCGAGCGTCCGTCTTGTTTTCCCTGTGCGACGTTTCATGTGGTTGCTTGGGAAATTGCGTCACAACCACTTCCTAGTTACGGGTTTACCACGTAAATGGAACGCAGCATAAGCATCCAAACCAATAAGTCAGGTGATGGGGCAGATGACCCTCTGTGAACAATAGAGCTAATCAAGCCTATTGTTAGTCGATGGCCCTCTTTTGCATGTGACTAACCTGTTTGTCCATGTGGAGGCAGTGCTTATAASGCTGAGTTCACCTGAAACTCATCAGACTGAAGAAGTCTCTTGGAGGAGAGATGAAACGTTTCAATAAAGAAGAACCCATCCAGAGGRCCTACTTATTTTTTCTTTTTGATTTTTAAACAGAACTAAACTTGTATTTTAAGACAGATTTTAGGTTTTTTACCCAATATCTAAGATTATGTTGCCTRTGAAAATCCGGGCAGTCATCTAAGGCTTGCACTCTCCTTAGGGATTTTCTGTTTGTTTACGCACCTGGTTGCTAATATATACGTAGAATACTGTCTTGTATTTTCCTCAGAGGACATTCAATAAAATGCCTTCAAGCTGGACCGAAGCACAGTATTTGTTTCGACCTCTGCTGCCACTTCCAGCCCATAACAGACTGTCCTCAGTAATTAACTCACATGGGAAGCAACAAACAGCCGGAAGATTTCTGTCAGGTTATCTTTTTGTCAAAGCCACTCATTCCCCCTAATATTTGTGATTCAAGTGAAGAACATTGTGCTTTCTCTGAGTCGCTTTTCTTAAAATGCAAGATTTCTCTTTAAAAATTGTTACATGGCAAGATCAGTCTTCTYATCAACCTATCAGGAAATTAACAAGTTAATCTTCTTTAGAACTAGAAGAAAAAAATAGTTTTTGTCGTAATTTAAATATTATGACTGTAAGAAATAATACAGTTTTTTCTGGTGTTTTTACAGTGGTAATGGTGGACATTCAAACTTATTTGACTTCAAAAGAAGATGTCGAAATGATCTCAAATGTATTTTGTTGTTTGTTTGAAATATTGTATTTTCATCTGAAATAAAATATTTCTTCAGTCAACCTGAGTCGCAGACATTCAAAGTTAGTTTAGTAATTTGCATCTAGGATGAATGATCTGTGGCTGTGGTCATGTGTTTGCATCTTTCTTAGTCTCACCATTCAGGTTGGAGGTAAAGCAGAAAGCATCATAGTGCTCGTCCTCCTTGTGTCTGTACCCGTAGTTCCGAACACCAGATGGGGTGTCCTTACGGCCGCACTCGTCCCTGGGATGGGAGATGGGGTACTGGACTGAGCCATCCTCAAGCCATCCAGCATTACACCAGTCTAATCCATCCACCCAAGCCTGTTGAAGGGTGTTAGGTAGGTTAGTGGGTCAAAGTGAAAGATTAAAGGCATTCAATAGGCAATGACTTAGAGAGCACAAGCCAGGGTATCCCTCATGCCAGTCCYAAGCCCAAATAAATGGTGTGGATTCCATCATGAAGGGCATCTGCTATAAAACACCTTTGCCAAAACAGACATGGATCAGTCKAGGTCACAAACAAACACCACTGGTGCCGTCAAACAGGGTACCAGCAGAAATTGTACTATTGTTGATCAAAGTCAACAAAAAGGAAAATGTACCAGGAGACAGARGGAGAAGATGAAAGTCAAGAGTGTAGGACTGAAGGTAGCGACTCTAAACATGTGGACAACGACAGGCAAAGGTAGAGAGCTGACTGWCATGATGCTAAGAAGGAAGGAAGGTAGATGGAAGGACAGCAAGGCTTGCAGGGTGGTGTGGATAGGAACACAAAGGGTAAGGGTGGTCCTGAAGGAGGAGTTGTAAGGAATGTAGAGTTGAAGAAGAGAGTCCAGGTAGGATGGAGTGAATGGAGAAAATTTCCAGGAGTGGTTTGTGACAAATACTGTATGTTGCTTTAAAGCAAAAGGGAAGTTTTACAATGGAGTAGACCAGCTATGTTGTWTGGTTTGAAGAAAGAGTCATGGACAAAAAGACAGGAGACAGAGCTGGAGGTGTCARAGCTGAAGGTGTTGAAGTTCTCCTTTCAATTGAAAGGGATGGATATAATTAGGAATGAAATAATCACAAGTACAGCACAGGTTGAAGGATTGGGAGATAAAGTTAGAGAGGTCAGACTGAGAGGGTTTGGACATGTCCAGAGGAGGGACAGTGGGTATATTGGTAGAATTAGAGATGCAGCTGCCAGGAAAAACACAAAGAGGATGGCCAAAGAAGAGCTATATGGATGCAGTTAGAGAGAACATGGATGATCCAAGTGAAGACGGAGGAAGATGACTTGTATTGGTGACTCCTGACAAGAGAACAGCCATAGAAGAAAAAGGTGAGAACAGTTTTTTATTTCATCACCGTATTAGTCTTACATCTAACTGCCTCTTGTTCTTTGTACCTAAAAGATAAAGCTGCAGTAAAACCCATAGAGAACCAAACATTTTATGTTATGTCACATTTACTACTCTAAAATGTTCATGATTTCTTCAAATAGGGGCATAGATCAAGCTTAAAGAGCAACCTAAAAATATAATGAAAGATGTTACCTTTGATTTCTTGGATATTCTCCTAAATCTATCATGATAATGGCAGAACATTCATGTCTGGCCTAATATGAGCTCACTTTGTGGAGCTGAGAATGAGAAGCCAGGATGGCGTCCTGATGTTTGCAGGCATCTTCTGCCTGGTGGTAGTTAAGCTTATAGCGCCCCTCCCGGGGGTAGTAGGGGAAGACCACTCCTGCAAGGGAGACAAAACTGTTTAGTKTGAAGCTTCATAGACATTGTCCAACATAATAGAGAGCCAAACATTAGACACTAGTTTCAACATAAGGTGAAACTGATTCCTTACCTTCTAAGTCCAGGTTGACAAATCCGGTGTCGTCCTCCATGTCATTGGTGACTTCACACTCGTAACGCCCATAGTCCTCCAGGGTGACATTTTGGATGATCACTGAGGCATCACCTGGTGACGCCTGCTCCAAAAACACTCGACCTCGGTAGGAACCAAACACACGCTGCTGCCTGGGGACATTACACAGACGATGCCTCTTAACAAACGTTTAAGCAAAATGACTTGACGAGCTCAATGACAGTTGCCCCAGAGTCAACTCAGCAATGCATGTCTTATTTGATAGGTTCATGAACAAATTTACAAAAAATAGAAACCAATTAACAATGTGTAGTAAACAATATGAAAAGATACCAAATATAAGTGTGAKACCCACTGCCGAAAGTGAAAATGTATTTATGTTTTTGTGTGTGTTTGTTTATTTGTAGTATTAGCAAAATATCTGTATCTATATGTCAATGTAGTCACTTAACATACTTTAATGAAACTCTAAAAAAGTAGTCATTAGATGTAAAGTACATAAGAATTTATGTAGTCAATCTAACTCAAATGCTAACAAATATTTCACATTTTACAGTATTGCACAAGTTTAATATTTTAGTTAGTTGTGAATCCTCATATATATACAG